GTGGCCCTCCTCTGGACCCGCTCCAACAGGTCCATGTCTGTCTTATGCTGAGGGCTCCAGAGCTGGACGCAGTACTCCAGGTGGGGTCTCACCAGAGCAGAGGAGAGGGGCAGAATCACCTCCCTCGACCTGCTGGCCATGCTTCTTTGGATGCAGCCCAGGATACGGTTGGCCCTCTGGGCTGCGATCGCACATTGCCGGCTCATGTCCAGCTTTTCATCCACCAGTACCCCCAGTCCTTCTCGGCAGGGCTGCTTTTAATCCCTTCATCCCCCAGCCTGTATTGATACTGGGGGCTGCCCCAACCCAGGTGCAGGAAGAGGCAAAGGAACTTGAGTATGCAGTCTATTTCACTCTTGTGTCTCCAGAAGTGTAGGAAGTTGCTTCGTAACCACTGTCTCATCTCTAGGACATTGCTCTACAAAACAGGCCATATGCCCCAGGAAGAGCAGGTGGCATCCACAATATTGTGTGTGTTACAGTGTTTGGTGAGGTCCTGTGCACAGTTGCAGGGGACCCGAGGTCCAGGACAGAAGCTCTTCTAGAATAGTTCCACACTAAGGGCACAGCATCACCACAACCACTGGAGCGGTGCATAGCTGCAATTAAATCCATTTACTGCAGACCTCCTCATCTCTAGATCTAGAAATGCATATCTGAGCCAAGCAATTAAATAAGTAAATCCTACTCATCTTAACTTATTGTGTATATTTTCCAGAAATATTTTGCCTCTTCCCAGAAATCGTCTTCATCCAAAAGCAGTGAGTAATTAATGTGCCACTATAAAAGAAAGTGTTAAATGTAGGCTGTTCTGTGTTTTATATATATACATAGAGATGGATGGATGCTTTTTATTATCTGGATTAAATAACAGAAACAGATAACTCTGAATGTCAGGTTGATCTAATATTGTAATTGTGGCTATTAATCTTTTGGACATCTGTTTTGATCCAAGAAAAACCTCAATGTTTCGAGGGATATATGTCTCAGTCCACAAAAGTTATTTCTTGTACTAAAAAAATACCAGTTGAACTCCAGGAACTTTACTTTCAGTAGCAATGGGCGATTTTGCCCAATCTGAAGCACCTTCCTTGAGCCTCATTCCTTTCAGATGATGAATGATTAATACTTTCTGAAAATGGAATCCTTCTAAAATGTCAGACTGGGTAGTAACCAGTATCACTAGATACTAGTAACCAGACTGAGCAACCAGTATCACTGGAAAATGCAGTCCATGAAGGAGTAATTGCAAGCTTTGGGTTCCTAAGGCTGTGTTTAAGTCATTCTTCTCCTCTACTCTTGTCCCCAGTCTGTCCCTTCAACTGTGCTGGAACAAAGGTTTTTCTGAAGCAAATTACTTCGAAACTTCTCTAACTGCAGCAAATGGGCAAAAGCAAATTCATAAAAGGTTCTTTTTCAGACAGATTAGTTCCATAAATTGTTTTGCACCATAGCTCTACTAATAGTTGTGCCAGCACACGAGAGGGTGCTCATGAGGAGCAAACTACCAAGAAACAGGTGACAGTAACTGCATCAGCATCTGTGCCAAAAGCAATGTGCATCAAACTCTGTCCCAGCCCAGTGCTCTGAATTGTCCTTAAGAAATAATCAGTCTACCAATAACTACATAGAGAATTAAATGCTTAAAACTAGGAATTTGGGGTCATACCATAGCATTAGATGCTATGGTAACATAATGCAGATGGTATAAGAACATCTTATAGTCTTACTTTCAATCCTTAAATTTCTAGATATACCATGTATTTCGGGGAAGGGGCGGGGGGTTGCACGCCTCTACATACAACAGCAGCAGCATTTTAGTTTCCCTTCCGCCTCATCACAACGTTCTTCCAATTTAGATCTGTATGCTGTAAGATGCTGAACAATTCCTGAGTGGTGCCAAGTCCAGGATTTCTCTTTTATGAAATGGTTTGATTTCTCAGCTTTTCTTACCAATATAAGATAAGAAAAAAAAATCCTTCTGAAGAGGGAATGTTGGACAGAAATTCCACTCTCTGATCAGCACTAACAAGAATACTCCTGCTTCAGAACATACTCAAGTGCCATATTGCAGCTGAAACCTCTCCTTTCATTCATTCTCAGAGCTTATCTCTAAGATAGATATCATCCTAGCTTTGCAGAGAATCAAGACTATTGTTTTGCTGGGGACCACATACTGAGTTAGTTACAGCACCAAGGATGGAGCTCCCAAACAAACACTCATCTGTACAATGGGTGTATTCAGCTCCTGGGTACTTGCAGTTACCCAGTTTGGCACAAGAGTCAGCCTAGGAAAGAATTACCCAGTGTAGTCCAAATTTTTGGGTCTTTTCTTGCTGTGTAAGTGGCCAGCCCTTACAGTTTTAAAGAAAAACATGGTAATGAGCATGATGTTTTGCCCAGTGCTGTGCTGTGCCTTTCCATCCCTGACTATGCACACTGACAAAGCAAAACAATAACTGAAGCATCTGTTAACTGCTCCCATTCAATTCATTTTCAACGCTAACCAGCACCGATCATGTTAACAGAGCTGTAACCCTTGTTCCTCTCAAAGGCCTGGGCTGACTGGGAGAAAAATTTCTCCACATCTCACTCCCTCAACTGTTGGATGATGGATTACACCTCTCCAACCAGAGAGTGGATGCATTTGTAACCAAGATAGTGAAAAGTCATTAACCTGCTGGATGGAGATGGACAAATTAATAACCGGTGCCTCTTTGAAAGGTACTTACATATGGAAGTCTGATTCCCTAAAAGACAAGAAGCGGGAGCCGAAAGAAAGCATCTCCAAAAGAAGCTGGGAATCGGTATCCTCTGTTCCGTGGAAAATGTGTTCTTAATATATTCAAATCTGCTGCAAAATTTCTGCTTTCCAGCTCAGAAATGAAACATGAACCAAAAGGTCTTGCTGCAAAATTCAGGGCCAATTTTCTCAATACTACAAGCAATCCCAAGGTTATTAGAATGTTCAAAATTAGATTGATGTTTGCTAAAATTTTTCAAATGCTGTAATAAAAGCTGATGAAAAGTATTCTGGATATTATATGCGTTTTGTACAAATGTATCTTTAAACATTACTACAGATTACCAAGACCAGATTATTTATGCACTTCCCGTTTAATAATAATTCCTTTTTTTAATTGCTTCTCATCAAATCTAACATATTTTTCCATTACAGGACCATGAAGCAAACAATAATGATGGAAGTAAGTATTCTGTACTGAAAACATGGCAATATGAGTGGAATTTGTTGTCAGTATGTCACTGGTGACCTTAATATAGCATGTAGTGGAATGCGTCAGTGTAAATTTTATCCGTAACAGTCAGCGATAAACAAGAAATGGTACTGAACTGTTTTCTAGTATAATCAGAATGAAAACATGTCAAGACAAAAATTAAACCAATGGATATTTTTTACTTTTATTACATTAACACTGAAATGGCAGTGAGGAAAACCCTCTGTTCAGATACAGCTAATATTGCATACTAAATCTGTCATTTGCGTCTCTAGATCATAGCTTCAGTAACACACAAGAATCCAGACTTCCCACTGGAGCAGCTCCGTCTCCGTTACCGAGGGGCCTGTGAGTAAAAAATAATAAAACTACTTCTTTGATAGGGATGGGGTTAATTACTAGGTGAATTAGGGACTAACTCCTATCCTTGCCTATGGCAATCAGAATTCAGGAGTAATTTTTATTGCTGTTCATGAAAGATACCCTGACTAGGTAAAGGTAAGCTATTCTTTCGTTATTTCTGGAGGAATACTGCTTGCATGCCAGTGCTACTGCCCTTCACTGTCTGCCACTGATGGCAGATGCTGGCTGGCATGCTTAATTTAGTCACATACTGCAGCAATAGCATGTGCATGCCTATAAATCCAGAAAGCTGTGTTTTTCATTAAAACTCTTCTGCCCCACCCAAGTTGTCATCTTAAGCATTGGACAGAGTGTAGCTTCCTTGCATATCGTAAGTACCTTTCCTGAGTACCCGCATTAGATCCGATACCCTTATTCTTTTCTTATTCCCTTTTTTTTTTTCCCCTAACTGCTACAGCTATCCGATAAGGAGATGCATCCCATCTTGGCCAGATATATTTTGGGAATCAATGAACCTGATGCTTAGTTGCCAAATGAATTCATGTATCTGCTAAGTAATCATACTTTTTTTTTCTTTTTCTTCCAATCTGCAGAAAGAAAACTTCTAATGCAGTAAATTCACCAGTAAGTTGACTTATAATTGCATAATCAATAATTTTACAGGTGATTTTTAATTTATTGTAAAACTTAATTTTATCATGAGTTTGGGTACAACATAAATGCATAAAAAGAATAGGGGAAAGAGTTATAAAGAAAGGAAATGTTTGGGTGCAGTTATATGAAGTGAGCAGCAGTGAGAAAGCTCAAGTAGACAAATATTTTTCTTAAAGGGATGTTTGGATTCAATACTCTAGGATGTAACAATAAACACAGTGCAAGAATGGAATAAAATGAGAAATAAATGGGAACACAGGCAATTCAGAAGTATTCCCTGAAATATACAGAGCTGCATACAGGGAACATGGATTTATTGTAACAGTGATAGCTCAAGAAAGATGCGGGATTTTACCAGAATTTGTCAGAGGCTTTTCAGTAAGCATTTCATCATTAGAAAAATATCCCAAAACCTCTTGTGGGAGAAAGTGAGAGAACTGGTTGAAATTTTCAAAGAAATTCATTTGAAAAATGTTTTGAAACTGGTAGTTTATTATCATTGTTTAAAAATGAAAAAAAAATTAAAACTGGAGGGTCGGGCGAGTTTTTACTGTGAGCTAAACTGACAGTTTAACTTTCAGTAAAAAGAAATGTGTTCAGACATTTGTGAACATAGCTTGACAAAGAGGAAAATATTCAAATTTTGATTTGCAAGTAGTTGGGATGGACTCTTCATTTCTGGACTTGAGATAAGAACAAACCATTTTTTACACCATAAACTTACTGATGGGAGTTAAAAAAGGGGGGGGGGGGGGGGGGGGGGGGCCACCCCAGTGCACGCATCCCTAGATTTTACTTTTGTAGATCTATTTATACACACAAACTGGGATTCTTTCCAAATCTACTTTGCAAAATCCCAAGCTTCAAGGTCATACAACTAGAGGCTCTTCACAGAATGGCCACATCCCTACCTCCTAATCACTCCAGGATGCTGTCAATTCTAGATGTAAACTAGTTCACAAAAAGTATAAAAAGATAAGCATTTGCTGTACAAGTGACATGCCATTTAATATTTGGTTTCCTTCTGTTTTATTGCAGAAACCGTGTTTACCTTCCAGAGAGACCTTAACTGCAAATGAAGGTAAACTATCTCCACTATGGTGGAAAAAGTTGACATTTATCAGAATTTAACTTTCTTTTTATTAAAAACATGAAACAAACACCACCACATTCAATTTATTCTAGGTTTTTGAAGGGGGTTTGGTTTTAGCAGTTTCAAACTGGATCCGGCCAGCCTTAGTTGCACTGAATATCATTGTTCTCTAAAAGCAGTCACAGTAAAACTATTGAGGTTACTGGCAGGGTAACGAACGACATAATGGACCAGCAATGTGCCATATAGTCCTCAAAGTGGAGAAGGGGGAAGGGAGACGAAGCACAAGCGCATCATTCTGAACGCTGCAAGAACCACCTCACACAGAGCCAACTCCTGGCAAGAGCCAGTCCCTCACACAGGCAGAAAACTCGTCTCGCCTCTGTGCAAGGCGGCAGCTCCTCCAGGCAAAAACTCAGCAGGAGCTGCTGTCTAACACAAGGGTAAGATGCAGCCAGCCAGCCGCACCTCCTCTGGCTGAGCTCTTGTAGGCAGCCTGCCCCAGCGTCCTCCCCTGTGTCACACAGCTCGCCTCTCAGAAGGCGAGTCTCCCACTGAGCTCCTGCAGGCATTCACAGCGCAGCTATTTGCCTAGAAATTTGGTGGTTTGCCACTAGTTAATAAAGAAAGCGGCAGGATGGCAAGCTGCCATGTAAAGAAAAAACCCAAAAGCTGTCATAATAAAATAAACCCTCCTTTTCAACTACTGGGACTCTCTTATCTGGGACAATAGATTTCTGAAGAAGTCTTGACTCTACAATTTGTTTTCCCAAACTACAGAAAAACCTACAGCAGCAGAACGACGACGAGGTTCCAGCCAAGAGCTTCTGCTTCCACCTCTTCCAAGTGGTGCCCAAAAGTAAAATCCCTTTTCATCATCTTTTGAATATTTCAATGCAGCAGCTCCTACTGCTCGGTCTGAACACAGCTGTGAGAAGTTCAAAGGGGAGCACTGTTTTCTCTGTAGCCTTCTGTTGCTTTTTGAAAGTCATTTCTTGAAGCCTCACAGTAGCAAAAAATAAAACATGGCAAATGCATCCAACTATAGAACCACCACCAAAAAGCATGGGAGGATATAACCTCTAGTTAGGTGATGGAGATTTAAACCAGATGTTTAAATTCCTAATTGTCAGTACTAGCAGGATATGATTTTTTTTTTAAACACCTGTATCTGGCCCTTATTTCTCAATGGACAAATGGGTGTGATGGAACACATTCTACCACTGCATGCTTCAAATACACAATTTTAATATTTTCAGAACTGGCTATATCTCCTCAGACCTTTCTGTAATCTCTTGATATTTATTTCAGGCCTTTGCTCCAAAAGTCCTCAATTCTGCCAAGTAAGTATAATTCAGATTTTGAATTAAAATGTGATTAACTTGTAATTTCAAATTAATCTTTGAATTAAGATTATTTCAAGATGCCATGCGTATTCATTAGTTTGGAATTAACTTTTGTCTCTGTAATGCATACAAAGAGGAGATCAAGTATCCAGGGGCTTAGCTCAGCTAGTAAATTAAGGGAGTATGTGAGGGTTATTGTATAAATTGATGGAAATTGGGTGCTTCACTCCCATTACTTGTAATTTCAAATTAATCTTTGAATTAAGATTATTTCAAGATGCCATGCGTATTCATTAGTTTGGAATTAACTTTTGTCTCTGTAATGCATACAAAGAGGAGATCAAGTATCCAGGGGCTTAGCTCAGCTAGTAAATTAAGGGAGTATGTGAGGGTTATTGTATAAATTGATGGAAATTGGGTGCTTCACTCCCATTTGTGACTACTGGAAGTTTCTACCAAAGGCAGTTTGGGTCAGTTCCCATCATAATAAAGATTCCATCAGTCTTCCTTGCCATGGAAGAACCCTAAATATGACATTTCTGGGCTGTTCCAGGCTTCTGTTGCCTAGAAGCCAGACAGGTTATTAGTGCATCCAGCAATTTATTCTTTCTTTACGGGGAGGGGAAGAAGGTATTTTTATAATGGCAAATGCTAAAGCTCTTCTGTAAGTAGTATTTTCAAAGAGGGACTTTGTTTCAGTTCACAGTTAAAAACAAATTAGGTAATATGTATATAAACTCTCTTTGCACAGAAGTGTAAATTAGATCTAATATTTTTCTAGTCTCTTGTTAGCAGACATTTGTCTGACCTTCCTACAAGCCCTTTTCTGCACATATTTCAGTCTGAACATATCTTTCAGACTGTAAATGGATGATGAGAATTACACATAGGAATCTGCATGTGGTGTAGCTTAAACTTAGATGCTGTTATTAGTACTTCTCTCAGTTTCCTGGAAATGTTTGCTTGATGTATGTTGCAATTATATCTCCTATGCTGTGGAAGTATAATAATGGTTCATATTCATACAATAGACTGATGCTCCCAAGTTTGTCTGCTCCTGTCGCACAACTGATGTGCTTCAACTTGTAGTATAAATTCTTACTAATCCCAAAAGTGTAACTATTCTTCAGGGTCATCTGGTGCTAAATGATGCTCTGATTAGTAAACTTTAACACACTGTTATTCTGTGCCAGGTCCAATAACAACTTAATCACAGATACCATTGGTCCCAATCACTAATGTCCCTTCAGCATAAACTGCCATCTCTTCCTTGCCACTGTGCAAGCCTAGTGCTAACTTTCATCTTCTTCATAAAAAGTACTGATTTCCCATACGGCACAGTATCAAATGCTCTACTGAGGTCCAGATTAAGTACAGTACCATAATTCCCTCTTTGTAGAACTCTGTTATTTTATGAAAGGGCTACAACATTTTATCTACTTGGGTAAATTTCAGATTTTCTCTTGCTAGTTGTACCTTTACCTCCAGATCTTAATGTTCTTTCCATCAAATTCTCTCCTAGGGCCTTGTGTTCTGTGGAGTCAGACAAAAAGACCTGTAGTTGTTCAGGTCACTTTCTCCACTTTAAGTATAGCAATTATGTTTGGTATTCTTTAATCATATGGTACCACCCTAACTTGAAATTTATTTAAAATAATTGTTACCAGCCCTGTAATTTCATGTGCCAGTTTTTAAAATTTCTGGGATAAAGATTATCTGGGCCCACCGGTTCAATTGTACTAAGCTATTTGAGTTTTGCTTCCAATTTGGCTGTGGAAATTTCCATTTCTGTACCAGAACTACTATTGGTTTAGTACCTAGATTATTTTTAAAATCAATAAAATTCTTACTGCAGACAGCCCCATTTCTCTTTCCTTTTTACACAGCTAAGGAATCTCTTAATACTTACTTTCCCTTCCTTTTGTAAAGTCTAATTCAGGCTGAATTCTGGTAATTCTTACTTTATTCATACAACGTACTTTTCAGCTGTAGCTTTTGCAGCTGGTCAGTCAAAATTTGACAGAAAAACCAAAATTTTAAATATTGAATAGCCTTCATCAGGTGATTATTCATTCATTGAGAGCTGGAACTGCTCTTTATAATGTCTCCCCTGTACTTGGAATGCAGCTTCCAGACAGTTGCATCTTTACTACAAAAGAAGTTCTAAACCTACTTCACGCAGCCATCTTTGAGCTCTCTGGTCCAATTGAATTTTTTAATTCTGAGACACTGTATGACCTCCGCTGTAACATTCTTACCGCTTTCTGAAACCAAAATCTAAATCAAAATGACATTAGTGAAGATTTGATAAAGCAGTCTGCAAAGTATCGTGTCAAGGAGTGCTAACAATCCTAGTAGCGCTTTTTTCCCCCAATAAGTAAAACAACCAGGAAATAAAACCTCCCATAATAACAGAATAAGTAACATCTTTCTGCAATCATCTTCTCTAGTATAATGATATTGATCTGTACCCAACTCTGATCACAAGTACCTATAGCAGACACGTGTACTATCTTTGACCAATATTCTATTTTACCAGAAGACAATTATCTATACGTATTTCCCATATTTCTATCATATCATTACTATGCAACACTACTCACTCATTTCCCTTCTAATTTCTTAAACTCTTTGACATCTGTATTTCAGCCCTAATAGCTATTTTCTACTATACTTTGTTATTACAATTATAATTAAGCTTCATAATCTTTTCTACTAGTTCTGCTTCTCTGATTAGCTGCCTAGACTTCTTGCACACATATACAAACACTTCAGTTGGACTAAATTAGTGAAAAATTATCTCTGAGCGACATTTGTTTTCCTGACTCCCTCACCTATATGACTACTTCTCACGCTGGACTGAGTGCTTTTTGTGTTGTGTTCCTGCGTTTTCTTTTATCTGTTGCTACATTGATTCACTTAGGTGGTGGTGGGGGGGTGGTTCTTGCATTTTAAGTCTAGCTCTGGCTATTAACCAAGTTGTTAACCAAACTGTTATTAATGAAACTGTTTCTCTCTTTAGAAGCAAGGCTCCTCTTTTGAGCAGGCACGTGTCCCAGGCACTTATATAGGGCCCATCCGTTTGCAGTAGATAGCTTTCCTGAGTGATACCAAAGGTCAAGTGTTTCCAGATCTTCCAAAGTCCTTGTAACAAATCAATCACTTACAGCATAACAAACATACTTTGAAAACTTATATATGTTGTTCTTTCTCTTTACTAGAAGTGCCAGAAGTTGCAAACCGTTCTCTGGGTACTTCCCCTCACAGCAGCATTTCATCTATTTCAAGTACTGCAGACCAGGTATAACATTAGCTAAATTCACATTACAGAAATCTTCTTATCCTTTACTTTAAAGCAGTATTTCCACCCCTATCCCCTTTCTAAATAAAAATCATACTCCTTCTGTGGAGGGCATCCATGTCCCCTTTTGCAGTGAAGATTCTGTAGCACAAATAATCCGAATGTTAGCTTTCATACGAAAAATGCTTAGAACATATAGCATAGGAGAGCTTTAACAAACTGTAGAAAAATATGTACATAGCATTATACCAAACCTTGGCACTCTACCAGTCACTTTAAACAAAAGCCAAAAAAGCTTCTTAGTTTCAGGTCTTCCTGGCTCCCCAGTTCATAACACTTCGACATCATTTGAAACAAGGAAATCTGTGGTGATGTACTTAAGTCTAGTCTTTGATATAGATGGCTACAAAGAGTTTTTAATTGCCTACTCCTTTCTAATTTATAGTTGTATATACTGTGTCCTGAAAAAAAAAAAAAAAAAAATGCCAAGCAGTTACAGTGGAGCCATCTGCAGCTATTAGCGTTAGCCTGCACTGACGTGATGTGCTAAGAAATCCCAGAAATTTGTAGAAGGAAACAGGGATGCTCTGCTGACTGGCCCAACACAGCAGGATGCAGGGGGTAGAATCACTTTTAAGAACGCTGCCCCATTTATTGCGGTTTGGGGTGTCAGCAAAATTTTAAGAACCAAGAAGAAAGTCACTGCTGCCCCTCTCAGAGGACACTGTGATGCCTCCCCCTGCACGTTTTAGTCTCTCCCAAGTCCTACTCCTTTCTGTTCCTTTAAACAGACCTCTTCTCATTACAGTTAATGCTGTCAGTTTTACGACAAATTCTTTTTTCTGTTTTGTTGCAACATTAAGCTTTGAATAATCTAAGCAAATGCAAAGTTATTTTCATTTCAGTGCTATTCCACTTACTCTCATTTTGGATGAAGGGAGACTACAAAATGCAGGAAGCCATTCTTATTAGCCTAGTAGTCACAAACAAGGTAAAAATAGTTCTGTTGAGTGCAAGACAAAGGCACTATTATGCAGAGCCAATAACATTAAATGTTCTAAAGCCTGACATGACAAAGATAATACAACAGTGAAGAACACAAAGGACTTGAAGTTCTGGAAAAATTTTAAGTGTGTCATACTGGATATTTAAAAAAAAAAAAAAAAAAAAAATTGCTTTCAAATAAGCAATCCAGCAGACACTAAATAAACAGCTTGTAGCAATTACATTTGCAGCTTTTACGTAACAGCCATGGGCAAAACCAGAACTAATAAAAAATCCATTTTGGTTAAAAAAAAATATATATATATTAACTGTTAGTTAGTGTTATTTTCCCACCAATTGTGTACAGTGGTATCATCTGCTGTAGCATCCTGCACAATACAGGTGCTCGCAGACATGATTCATGCCCATAAGGTTCATTATTTGCTTGGTTCCCTCCCAAACTTTGGCAGCAGCTCTCTGCTTCCAGATTAAAAGCCACAGATAGTGCTAGAAGAAAGGTCTGGGGGCACTTGAGTCCTTGTTCTGTTGAACAAAGGTTGGTTTACTGGACTCATTCTCCAAGTGGCTGAGTACCTTGCATACTTTCAATTCCTTTCATCCTATCTTTTTTCCAATGAATAGCGTGGCTGGAGAAATACATGGAAGAACTTTGGAGGTAAAGTTATATGTTATGGCTTGAGCCAATCCAAGAATTTAGTGCAATGCCCCCAAAATGCAGGCTCTGCTCTCTCCTCGCTGTCAACTCCCCTGCCAGCTACAGGCTTCTCTGGTGTTCCTCTGATCCTGCAGTGGGCTGAGCCAACTCATTAAACTCACAGAAAACCAACCTGGCATTCAAACACAAAACACAACACAAAAGAAAAAAAAGGTAACAAATTTTTTTTCTGCGAGATTACTAAAGTGAATTATCTCCCCGTGGGATCAGATGAGCAACAAAATGAGCACAGGGGATAAGCCAAGACATTCCCTTTTTGGCAGCGATAAGCCAGCTAGACCAGCTCAGCCATAATGTGCAACTTCATCTTTAATCTGTTTTGTACAGAGGTGACAAAGCTTGTGTGAAAATGAATTCTATCATTAAGCTTGTTACTGTACTGAGCAAAACTGTTCAAATGACCGGGAAGATTAATACCCAGAAGTATTTGTTAGGAAGTACTCTCAGCACTATTTCTATAGCCTCTCCACTCACTTGAGTTAGCTTTTGCATCAACCTCCTCAGCAAGAGCTCACTTTTTGTGATTGCTGGTTTTATAACCTGCTAGTTAATCTTCTAGCTATTGAAGTCTGATAATGCATAGGTCTCATGTTGCTTCTAATCCCTCATCCTGTCCTTCCCCTGAGTATCATTTCTTTTCATGCTTCTCTAAAATCCCCCATACCTTTCCCCTAACTCCACTCCTGTTCCCAAATGTACACTCAATCCTGCATGATCTTACTACCCAGTTTTCTACCACTTCTTCTCTTAATCAAATTATAATCTTGTACCACTCACTCCCAACTGGCCTCACATCTTTTTTCATCTTTGCACTTCCTTTCCTGTAAGAGCTTGTATCTTCTAAAACAGAATCCACCTATCTTTAGGGTGCCAATTTTTCTACCTTGTATCTTCAGGTCTGCACCTATGCCCCCATCCGTGAAGTCCTTTGTCCCATGTTTTCCACTGGAAGAACAGGTTAAGTTCATTTACTGTACAGAACACTGCCAAGCATTTAACAGAATGGAGAGAAGGATGATGATCTTGGTGAGGTGTTCACAGGGAATAACATGCAGAAATGAGGCACCCAAGAGATACCTTATAAAATATAAGCCGCTCTTGTATTCTGTCACAGATTTAATCCTTCTCCACAGTAAACATGGTTTTGTGCCTTTTAGATGAGAGCACTGTTTCAAATGTAAGGATATATTCAGACTCAATCCAACAGAGAACCGGAACTGAATACATATCTCATGTCTCAGGTGAAAGCACTGGGGGCTGAACTGCTGTATTAGTAGAGGAAAGACATTAATTATTCCTCTGTTTTGTGGGACTCTATCAATTTGTTGTTACTTAATAACAACAAAAAGCAAAAGATGCACTTATCCAATCTCCGTGCTATCCAGATGGAGGCAATCGTGATCATGTTCACAAATAGCATTAAGTATATGGGAAACTTCATTCCCAAAGCTTAGATGCCTACCAAATCTGGACATTTCATTGGCTAGCCCACAGCTGAGCAGCATTTAAATTGTTAATGGTCAATTTATTCCTCAACATTTCCTGGATATCCTCTTTAAAGTCTACTAGAATAGCTTCCTGCTTTAAAATGCCAAACTATCCTCCAGTTGAACCTGGCTACTTTCCTCAGGGTATCCTTCTGTCATGTATCAGCCTTCTATCACGCATCTGTTACCACTGTTTTGACACACTAGTTTTTCTTTGTCCTACCTCTGTCCAACAAAAACAGTGAGCTCCTGGCAAAGAATTTTCTAAATTCTGTGTTTTCTAAAGTGTTCTGCATTTGAGTTCTTCACATCTGTCATTATTTAGTAGTAACTCCCCTACAGGCCATATTCTTTATTATCATCATTATTATTTTACAGGTGAAACTGTTTCTTTCTTTCTAGGATGCTGGTGTTCATAGTAAAGCATGGTATGCTGCTACCTGTGATAGGAAAACAGCAGAAGATGCATTGTACCGATTAAACAAGGTAGGTCACTTTTTTAAAGAATGTCTATTTTATGAAAAAACTTCAAATAAAAAAATCAAAAGACAACCAGAAATATTCTAAGAACATCAGTTGTATTCTGAACAGCTCAGAATACTGTGCCATGCAAATACTGTCAAACATGAAATTATTGTGGTGAAACTATTTAACTACGGTTTCCATCCCAAGACAAAGTTGCATTAGTGTAACTCAAAGACTGGTGCACTGCAGAGAAAGCTATTAGACCAGAGAGCTGAGGAAGACCTGATAGCTCACGTACATCCATTAAAATGGAAGGCAAAGCCCCATGACTTTTAAATGGTCTCCACCACTGTCCAATGGCTCATGAAAAAACAGCTACTGTTTGGAAAGGCCGATGCTGCTATGCATTTTGAAATAGCGACACTATGCATTTAGGTATTTGGAGAATTTGAGTTCTCTCAACTATTCTGTGTACAAAAGCTAGCGTCACAGAAGGGAATAGTAACATGTGGAGTTGCATCCACAGCATCAGGTACATTTCCACTCTTGCCGAACTCCACAAAGCATGATAAAAGGGCAGAGCACTGGGGTTATCACCAGTGTAGGCTACTGCTAGCTAGTGAGCACTGGGCTACATTGTCAGTAGCTGTAGGTGCTCGTTTTTATCAGAGTGCTTCTTACAGCTCTGGAGAAACAGTATCTCCACCTCTCACTGCGTTCTTGCCTACCTTCTGCCACTCATAGTAACTTCATTTCCTAATAATCTGTAGACCTCAACAGGCTGCTGCCACTATGTGTTTATTTCTTCTTTCTCTCTCTGGTTGAGAGAGAGCAGGCGGCAGCAAAGATGACTCTTAAATGACACCTCTGTAAGCTACTGTTAGATAGCAGGAATACATGCTACTTCTTATCTCCTGCTGTACGCTTTTTCTAATGGGAGAAAAGGGTGTAATGCTAATATAGGTGAAAATATTAAGCTAGCACCAAACTAAGTTGTTGGAAAAAATAAGCTGAATACACTTACTACTTTTCTCTCTTTAGGATGGATCTTTTCTAATAAGAAAGAGTTCTGGACAGGATTCACGGCAACCATACACACTGGTTGTGTTTTACAACAGAAGAGTATACAACATTCCTATACGATTTATTGAATCAACAAGACAATATGCACTGGGCAGAGAAAAAACTGGTGAAGAGGTGAGATGATGGCGGGGGGGGTCCTAACAGTTTTCAGTTATATACGTTTAATAAGCAACGATTAAGATATATTGCACTATGACCAAAAGGATTCTTCATGTATTGAGATTAAGGTATACCCTATATAATTACTGATTTATCAAGCTAGAGAAACCAGTGTAACATCAGCTCCTGCATACTGTGAGTAATTAAAATCACAGATCAAGTTTAAAACATAATCATAGAACTGTTTTGAAAAGTTATCAGGATCAGAGCAGCAGCTGCTTAGATAAGTTCTCCAGCTGTTTATAGTCCTCCATTCACCTTCTACCTAAGACTCTAGTTAAAGTTTCTTGGAAAATCATAAAGGAAGAACAGCTGTTCAGGGAAAAAAAAAATGCTCAGGGAAAAAAAAAAAAAACAACAAAAAAACCCAAAACCAAAAACACGACTCTATCAAAAATGAGAATGACAGTACTTTTAATCCTATTTTCACATAAAGAAAATGTTAAACTCTCGTTCTGGAGTGCAAAAATCACTGGTTGGCTATTATACCACACAGATAATTACTCTGACAGCAAAACAGAAACTTGGAACCCAAATACCAATAAAAACGGTTTGTTATCGCTGCATAGAGTAGGCTTTTCAGGGATGTGAAAGTAGGCTTGCCTTAGCCTAATTATCTGCCTCCCAGGCAATGGTTTTGAGGTTACAGAATAAATAATAGCCTCGAGCTCATCTGGCCTTCAACAAAGGGTCAAAAATGACCTCAGGAGAAAAAAAGAAAGATAGTCCAAAATCTGTATTTGACCAAAAGGAAAAGCAACAGACCTAGCAGATTCTGGATATTAATTTACAGTGACAAACATTAAAATTGCATAACTAAAACAGTTCTCATTGGCTGTCTGTACCATATTATTCCTGGAGATCACCTTCCCTCTAACTGAGGTGGCTGAACCAGAGATGAAGCAGCTTCCAAACTGCCACAGTCTGCAGCCTGGTATATACTAAGGTAAACTGAAAGCAGTGTCATTTTAATATGCCGTGTAACAACCTCTGTGGTTCAGTTTGTGCAGGTGGCAATCACAAATGGAAAGGAGCATGAGATGAGACAGCTAGTGGCCATAGTATCTTCTGTTGTCCAAATTTAATCTGTTTATGACTAGAATCAGGACTAGGAGCAGGATCGGTGCTCTTACTAAAAGGCAGAGCATCTCACTTGGTAACAGTCATAGCTCCACTCTCTTCAATGGTGGGAGAAGCAAAGAGAAAAAGATGATGCAGTGATTACTGTCAATATTAGAGCATTAAAGGAAGCCAGCACTAATTAATTTTTGTTTTCTTTATCCAGCGCTTTGACAGTGTTGCTGAAATAGTAGAGAATCATCAGCACACCTCCCTGGTTCTAATTGACAGTCAAAACAACACGAAAGACTCCACGAAACTGAAACACATTGTAAGAGTTTCTTAATCAAACCGAACTGCTAACATGAAGACTTTTGTAATCATTTCTTCCAACATCCCAAAACATGTGGATCAGGTATTAAAAGAAGAAAATCCAAAATGATGGAAAATACTCTTTAAGAGCACCTAGTAAGTGATGCAGTTCATAAAGTTCAACCCCATGTCACTTTTGTTGGAAAAGCACTTGTATTTAACACAAGAAGCCAAAGCAGATATACTTTCGTCTGTGATTCCCATCTGTGACAACGTGGGTATTCAAAGTCACGTGAAGAACAACTGCATGCCACAGCCTGGTCCTTTGACTGCTATTTAAATATAGATTTCCTGTAGGACATTCTCACTTTAAAAATGAGAATACCCACAGTGATCTACTCTTTCCATTTGTTACATTTACCACAGATCACTGCTTTCAGCAATTTCTTTGTAAAGCTCCAGAAGTTAGAGCAACTCAACCTAATGTACCACTGTGTACAAGCTGAAAATAGGACTGTACTTCATGTGATTAGTGGCAATAAAGCTGTCTGAATGTTTTAGATTAATGGACATGTGTTGTCCTTTTCCTTGGCTTTACTCTGTTTCATTAATATTTTTGTTTGTATTTTCAAATGTGCAAATAAAATTTAAAATACTGTAAAGTCAATAGTGTATGGAAGCATTGCTGGATCGCATTTCTTAGCATCCTTACAGCAAGACAGCATCAATTCACTGTCATTGATGTTTTAACGTATATATTTGTATGTGCTCCTTTGCAAGTTCTGTTGTTAACGAAAACTATCACTCTCTACAGCTTTAGCATATATATAGCTCTCAAATCTTTTGTCTTCAAATTGCCTACTGTTGGTGACCCAAGCACACTGCTTCATTGCTAAACCAACTACCCACTCAATTCTTGCAGAATTACTGTTTACAGACACACACCAAAAAAAAAAACCCTCTTTTTTTTTCAAGCCTGTTCTATCACAGTAGTTTACTTGTATTATTGTGAACAAAGTAATTTCCAAGCCTGTTCTATCACAGTAGTTTACTTGTTCACAATAATACAAAGTAATTTCTACAAATGTTAAAGTGGTGAAAATTAAATTGATGAATGTATAAATTGCACCAATGAAAAACTTTTAGGAACAGTTGTTAATTAGTTCTAGAGGTGTTTGACTTCACTGGACCTGAAAACTCATCCATCTTAAAGGTATTTTTTCCAAAACTGACACTCTATACACACCTGCTTTGTTCTTTTTGTTCCAGATTAGGCAGTGTTCTCTAGGACTATCTGCAAGGCATTTAAGGCAACTACTTCTTTGTGGTTTTGATCAATTACTTCTACAAGTAATGCACCCGTCTTCTAGAAAGAACTGCTTACTGATATGTTCAGCACATGGCTAGCTACCTTGCTGCGTCTCAGTTTCTTCCCTCTGCAACACAGATAATACTTATGCCAGACATGAAGCAAATGAGACAATGGCAAGTAAGAAACAATGCATACAGGCTTTACACAAGTCTGCCTGTGACAGAAGCTGTTCACAGTACTACATAAATGCTACGTTTAGTATGTTGTTCAGTTGGTATTAATTAGTATTGTACTAATACTATGCTTAGTACTAGTGTGATGTTTAGAACATCAGGATTGCCAAGTCAAGGCCTCAAAATTAACAAGTCATTAGTCTCTGCAAGCTTAATTTACTCCTATATGTGTACTCTGATATTATTTAGTTACATGAAATATCACTTAGGTTACTATTTCAAGCAGTACTCACAATGGAAAATACTCTGAAAAAGCAGCCATTCAATATTAGCTTTCTTTGCATTCATGTAGAATCCTTGCCTTATTCACTCATGTACTGCACAGTATTTAAACTTCGTTCTTAACACAACTGTCTGTTTCTTGTTAACCTTTATATGTTGCTCCTCGTAAAAGTGTCTAGGTTCTTCAAACATTTCTTTCTGAGTTAAATGTGTAGTATCACCATCATTCTAGAACTGGGGAAGAAAAAGCCATGAAAAAGTGAAACTCAAGTGTAGCTATAGGCTTCCACGTGAGAGACTAAGTATCTTTTTTTTTAAGGTAATTAGCAATACTGAGCCCTTTCAATACTCAAAGCGCTGCTGCTCCTGCTCCTCAGCTCTAAGTGCTCGGCATTACATGTAACTTTGTGGCTCATCTACAAATAACAAATACGCTCTAGATAAACATTCAACTACTTCATCCCCAAACTCTTCTTTTCTTTTTAGCTGTGTTCTACATCATTACAGGGGTACCGTACAGTTTCAACAACAAAATGAGGCAGGGATTTCATAGAATCATTTAGGTTGGAAAAGACCTTTAAGATCATCAAGTCCACCACTAAACCACGTCCCCAAGCACCACATCTACACATCTTTTAAA